TGGTATCATATCATAGAGTTTTAGAAATTTAATGTTACAAACTTAATGCACCATAATTTTTAAAAATTAGAAAATTAGTTAATTTAAAAAAAGGTAACTATTAAATCAAGATCAATGTCTTGAGTTTAACAAACTTACAAGGAACCTCAATTAGGAAAAGGCTCACAGGATACCATCAAAGTAAGAAAGAACCTGGCCACTTGACAGAGTGAAACACCAGCTGACTAGGCTGCCCGAGCTTGTGAGACAATGTCTGGAGACCTGCCCGAGCCTATGGGGAAGAACAAAGCCTCTTTGGTAGCAAAAGAGGTGAGGAGACCAAGGGTGCTATCTTATAGCTTTAGCATTGATCTCCTTGAAAAGGTAAACTTAGCTTCATGAAAGTGAGTTCCACATCTTCCTTATTCACTATGGAGATCCTAGATCCTAGCAAATACAGGTGAATGAATTGATGAAGAAATGAACAAGTTCTTCAAAAATTCATCTGTGCATGATGCCCAGCTGCTCTACACTGCTATAAACAAAAATAACTTGACATAAGAATTTTCATGATGTAAGATGTTTTACAACGTGGAATATAAAACATAGCTAAAGTTAAAGAGTGTCTACCATAAGCCAAATACAAATATGTTCAAAGATAGACATTTGGGAAAAATTAAGAACATATGGTAATGTCCTCTATTAAGCCACATTCTTGCAAAGCATGGGATAAGGTTCTGCCTACAAATATGAAAGCATTGCACAGGTTCTTCCTTGGTTCACACTGTCTTGTCTTTGGGAAAGCCTTGGCCGGGTTGAGATTTACAATTTTGTCACAGTTCACTCTTGGCTGATAATGTGCTGCCACCTCCACAAATCTTTCTAATTGAAAACCCAGTTTGTGAGACCACAATCCACTTTAAGTGCCTACTACCTCAGAGAGAGTTACGGATTTATAGTGTGTCATTTCTCCTATATTTCACACAGAAGTGACATAAATTGAGTGCTAACATCACAGCCCATGAATTAAGTTCCCCTGGGTCACGTTAGTGGTCATGCAGTCACAAGATGAGCTATGACCAATTTTAGGTTGGTACTTTATGCCACAAAACTGACCAATGAAACGTCTACATCTTCAAAGATAATTAGAATGACAGCTGATAAGAATTTTTTAAGCACTTGAAGTTGATGAAATATGTTCTTTTTAGTAACGTATGTGTAGCTTTGGAATTAACACTAGACATAGGCAAGATGTACTGTGAATTCCCAAGTTACAAGGAACCCAACTGATTTTACAGGTGAAATAACTGGATTGTTTTGAGCACATGCAACCCTTATCTTTTATGAGAGAGTTAAATAACAGTAAACAAGAATGTTTATGGAAGTTATTGAAAAAAAGTAACTTGCATTGATTGCAGCAGATCTAGCCTGATCCTCTTCCTCCTTTATATGCCCAGTGTTATACAATTAGCAACGTTTACAATGGCCATGAGGCATTACAGAGACTGGAGCTAACTTCTGACTCAACAAGATTACATTTTGCTCAATTTAGTGTTAATGGTGATTATCCTTTATTGAATTCTGGTTATACGTCACATATAGAATTGGTAGTAAATCCCAGTTA